GCTTCAGGAGGTTGTATAAAGAGAGCTCGCATAACTTTGAGAGCTCTCCAAACTCTATAAGATGGAGACAAAAACCCTAATTTCAACATCCCTTGACCTACACCATGTTTAGAGAGTCCAAATTCATCTTCAGATCAGCCCTAGGTTATTCCTAAGCCTTTGATCGGACCTAGGTTAGTGTAAGCCCTAGGTCAACTCTAGTTCATCCCTAAGCCCTATATCAAGATCTGGATCCAGATTTAAGCCAAGGAACTCTATATCTAACCCTAAGTCTAACCCTCAAGAACCTTAATATTACTCTATTCTCAATTAGATTTTGGTTGGTATTCGCACTAGCACCATCAACTTCAGGGATGTTCCCACCACAATGCCTAAAATTGTCATTCATTCATATTTGGTTCATCAATTTCTCCTTGGATATTGTCTTATCTTTACTTTGGTTTCTAATTATTTTACTCCTTTTCTTTCATTTAACTCGTATATTTTCTTCCTATGATTACTTATTGAGTCACCTTTTGGTTAAATGTTTTAAAAAACTTGATAGTACGACATATATGATGTGTTATGGGTACTAATGCACAAATATACTTTTGGTGGTTTCCTTTTCTCTACCTTATGAGTTCTCTAGGAAAGGGACTTGTGAATGTTGTAACATGTGTGCCAGCCCCACATATGAACTAGCATGTACAAGCCAGATTTGTGCTATAAAAGGCCGAACAAAGGTGGTTGCCGGATATAACATAATTGTATTGTTACAGTTACGTCATTTACTATAATGTATATGGCTATTTCTGTCAATGCTCGAGATGTAACATTATATATCTATGTTATAAAGCAAATTATGTATGAACTATATTGGAAGGGGTCTATTACCATTTGATGTCGAATATGCTCGATATTACGAGTACCACCTCCTGTTCGGTAATGAAAACATCGGACATAAGCTATTCTTTTTTAGTTCTTTGTTGTCCGATGTTTGAAATACTGTACAACTGTCTGATATCCCCAATACCTAATGAGATCTCTCTTCCCATCATTTCTCTTCTTTCGCTGGCAAAGTTGGCTTGGCAGTGGGGTTGGTCCTCAAGCTATTCTTTGTCTGAGATAGTGCACCATGAGGTCATGCGAGGTTGGACTACGTACTTGAAGACCAAATATAGCATGTTGTGATCCTTTGCATTCAGTGGATGCTGACAAGCGGTGTGCGCCATATCAGTCATGTAACGTCATAGCACTTCGCCTCCTTGGCGAACTTCGCCATGAAGACCTTCACCTTGCATTCAGTTTCGTTGAGACCACCATGATGGTTGTTCTGTTCTTCCTGTTTCTTGATTCAATTAGTAGCTGCTGGGTCTCTGCCTTTTAAGAGAGAGACAAAGACAGGGAAGTATTGTGAGTCAAGTATGGAACAAGGAGTTTAAATGAGAGAGAGATTTTTGTTGGCCTTTCTTGGGCCAGAAAACGATAAAAGCCCCCACAGATGGGAAAAAGGTCACAGAATGCCCAGAATATTTTTTTATTGGCGCCCAATAATTTCAGTTGTGAAACTGAGATAGTGGTAATTTTCAATGACGACTACTGTGATTTCATACTCTATGAACCTCAAATTCAAATATTTGAGAGAGTAGAAATCGAAAAATGTTCGAAAATGCCCGAAATATTTTGAACGGTGCCCAATAATTTCAATTGTGAAACCAAGATAGCAAAGTTTCTTCAATGATAACTACTGTGATTTCGTGAGCCTCAAATTCAAATATTTGGAAGAGTAGAAATATATAGGGGAAGAGAAGGCTCGCTGGGTATTGGGGATATTAGATAGTTGTCTGGTATTTCGAACACCAGACAACAAAGAAGAAGGAAAGAATACCCCCTATATCTGATATTTTCATTGTCGGGTAGGGGACAATTTAGAAAAAAATAAAATAAAATAAAATAAAATACCACGCCAAGAAATGATTATAGACCCCTCCTAATATGGTATGCACTTAATTTTCTCTATATTATATTGCAGGACTTGGGTCATTTCTTAATGTGTATTTCATGGTAGAAGATTGTGCATGTCTTCTCTCTTCTTCTATATATTTTTCATGATATTTTGAATATGCTCTCAACGTGATCAACTTCTATCAAGGTAATTCATATTTCCTTCTTCTTGAAGATTCATTATCTCTCTCTTGAAAACCCTACTTTTTTTTTTCGTCTTTACCTTCTCGTTTATCATCCTCATCCTCCACTCCTAAAATCCTAATCTTTCTTTCTCAGATTTCCTCTATATTGAGGTAACTACTGTTCATTTTATTGTTTATGCTACCATCTGAAATTTACGATACTCCTCTTTGCAACCTATTTTATATCTCAAACAAAAGCAAAACAAAAAAAAAATCTTAACTATTCTTCTCTTTCTCGATTCTCAAAATCTATTCCAAAACCCTAACTTCTCTTCTATCTTTTGCTCATCAAAACTAAATTTTTGTTTTTATTTCCCTTCCTTCTTCTTATTTTATCTCTCTTTCTTTGTTGGTCTTTCTTTTATGTTAACGATGGCTCCTCTACTTCTATTGGTCTCCCTAATCCTCAATACATACTTGTTAAACACAACACGTCAAACTATTAAAAGGTTTAGATCTAACTTTCATAAGATACCAACTATTGTTAGAGCCCATTAATGGATCGTCAAAGCCTCTAGTTGAATTTTTTACAAAAAAGAGTTTAGCGGAGATGAAACAACTAAGAAAATTGTTCAATCCAACATGGTTTATGATGATTGTGCATCTAAGGGCTAGAACTTTATCAATTGGATTTCTTCCGCTCTTTTAGAGAAACTTATTCATCAAGTAAACAATTTATTGACTGTTGTAGCATTATGGGAGGCCCTTCATGACTTATTTTCTCAGGAAACAAAAGCCCTAACTGCATCTTCAAAGTGAGCTTCATGCATGTAAAAGAAATAACATGCCAGCCTCAGAATTCTATAGTAAGATAAAATCCCTATGTGATCAGCTTGTTACGGTGTAAGATCCTCTGAGTGCAACAGACAAGGTTCATTATACTCTGAGAAGCTTTAGGGATGATTATAGAGTCTTTGTTTACTTTGTGATGATGAAGAGTTCATTTCCCTCATTTAATGAATTGTGGCCGTTCCTATTGCAAGCATTATTCAACCTTAAACCGTTGTTAGAAGAGTAATTCTACTGCAGATTCTCATCATGTTTTATTGTGACGCAGTAACTCAAAATAAGCTAGAATTCAATTAGTGGTGGAAGAGGTACAGGATATAGAGGTAGAGGACGTGGAACTCAAGTGGAAGAACTAATTTTCATCCTAATCGAGGTGTTGTTTGCTATACACTCCCTCAACAGGATCATTTGTTACTTTAGATGGTGCTATTGTTTACCAGATATATGAAAGGAAAAATCATACAATTATTAAGGGCTAGTTTGAATCCTAAGATAAATAAAATTATCATTACAAATTTGTTGGTAAGTTAGGATTTTTTAGGGATCCTATTTACGTATGGAGACTTCATGTTTTTGTCAGCTTTAAATTATAATATGTAAGATGTGGAAGAGGTGCGGTCAAGCCTTGAAGGGATCATTCCACATGATTTTAGACTTAAAAAAAAGAAAAAAAAAAAATTCCTTCATTACTTTTGAACTCCAGCTCATGGTGAGCCAGAAACCCTAGGTTTCTCCAAGTTGTTGCTCGTCTGGCTGGGATTACTGCTGTTTTTCTGTTCTCTTTCTATCTCTACATCTCGTTATAATTTGTCACCTCTATATCTTCTCACTTATCACATAAGCACTATGCTATACCAAAAGTTTGATTGGTTATAACATTTATCACAGAATTATTGTCGTAGCTCATCCATAATGTACGACATGAAGATTTCGAAATACTATTAAATTCTCGTGAGAGGAAGCTTATTTTAATTTGTTTGCGTGGAGCATAATGTTCCTCCCTATAAAAGATTTCTATAAGTACTATTCCCTATCAACAAGAAACAAGATAACCAACTCAGAATCGCATATGTTCACTAAATAGCATTTTCTCTCTTTTAATAAATAGATTTCGGGGCATTAAATACAAGGCTTAGGAACCTTAAATTATGTGTTACTACCAACAAAAAAAATAAAAATTGTTGCAGTTGATTTTTGCTTTTTTTTTTTTTGGTCTAAAAACACCCAACGGGGAAAATTATTGGTTTAAAAATTGCAGTAAAGAAAAAAAAATCCTTCTTCATCTCTACAAGAAAAATAGGAGTCAAGGGGTCATGGCTTTAGGGGCATTAAATACGAGGTTACGTGAATTGAAATTTTGGGAAGTTCAAACTTTCACCAGTAAATAAAGTCACCTTAATAGAAAAAAAGTTTCAAAATAAAAGTTGCTTTAATGCTCATGCAACTTGTACATATTTGGAACGCTCAAATAAAGGAATTTAATACCTTCAAATGGAAGTAGAAATGTGTAAACTATGAGCCTTGTAATTGGACACCCACATTTATGACAAGCCACTGTAGAACACTTGATGAGCCTTTATAACATGGACAATAGACACAGTAGGACACTTGATGAGCCTTTATAACATGGACAATGATGTCTGTGGCTCTTAGCGCATGTTTGTGGTTCTTGGCACCTGTCGGCACATTCAAGGCACAATACTCGTGTCTACCAATTCAGTAGACATTACTAATTAACATATCTTATTGACGAAGGTTGCTCCGATGCTTAAAACCCCAAATTGATCATCTCAAACCTGAGTTTTATGGAAATGAAAAAAAAAAAAATGAAGTAAAAAATAGTGCGTCTACCACATTATTTGAACCAACCATTTTTTAAAAATTTTAATTGTTTGTAGATTTGTTCAATTTGCATCACTTTTTAAGTTTTTAAGTTTCATAATTAGGGATGACAATAGATTTTCATGCAGTTACAAAGTTAAAATGCATCTTTCGACATAGTTTTGACGGTGCACGTTACTTCAATAGTAAAAAGTTGACACCTTACACGGACCTCACCCTTATCATTGTTTAATAATTCCATGCAAACAGTTTAGAACAAAAATGAACTCTTGGGTAGACACCTCGCTGGTGTGACCCAAAAAAGAAATGGATTTCGGCCGCTCTAGTGAAAATGTCAGGACATCAAATGCTAATAGTTCTATCCTTATTCTTCCTATAAATAAATTAACATTTAAGGCACTTAACAATGACACCCAATATCACAACAGTTGATGCTTAAGATGGAAGAAGCTAACTAATACATTGGGAAATTGGGATAGACATCTCGGGCCCAAGATTCCAATCCTCCAATTATATCCTGAGCCAAAGGGAAGCCAACACCATGTAGGTAATCAACAGCCCTTTGGGAATCATTGCCTCTCCTACAAACCACATACAATGAAGCATGTGAACCTGGAGAAAGATCGGACTCCTCTCTCTTCAAGGCTTCCTCAATCTCCCCCAACCTTGACTGCAAGGTAGAGAGAGGAAGATTTAAGGATTTTGGCAAAGAAGCGATCATAAAGTGGTGCTCTGGTCTCACATCCACCAACACGTGTGGCTCCCCCCTTTCCACACACTCGTTGTACTCCTTGCTGCTGATTCTTGCACTCTCTGGAAGAAGGCTCAGCTTTGGACGAGTCTGCAAAATCATAGCAAGGCATTTAGAGAATGACTAGGTTCAATTGAAAGTTTAATCCTTGAACAGAGTTCAATAATGCATCCTTTGTGAAACAAGAGTAGTGGAAGCCCAGTGATGTAGCATAATTACTAAAAGTTTTTAAAGAAATCACCAAATTTAACTCACTACATATATGGCAATAAAAAGGAAATTAAATGGGCTTTTGTTTTTTAAAGAATAACTTCATAACAAAAGCTCTGCGAGAATGCATTCAAACAAACATAAATTAGCACTTTTTTTAAACCAGTACTGCTGGCTGGTATGATTCCTTTTTGTTTCCTTACAATTTTAACCATCTTGAACAGAACTTCGGTGCCACTTTTGTCCCTTACAAAGATTAACCTGCAACCTGGGGGCACACTTATCTTAAAACATGCGGTCTTGAAACGTGTTAAAGTATTTCTCCATAATGTCAAAGAAAGAGCTTACATATGTCTTCAGACCACAGGAACTTTCTCTATATCACCCGCTCTGAAAGCTGTGTATGAAGCGTATCAGAAAATAAAACATGAGACTACAAAGTACAATAACTGGGATCACAACCCTCAGGGGCCTAGACATTAAGATGAGTTCTCAAGAAAGGAGATATTATTATTAGCATCAGTGTTCAAAAAGTCTTCAGCCTAAAACGAATAATAGAGGCCTAGGAGGGTGCCCTAGGAGGCCATGTTCCTAGGTGCACACATTAGACTAGTTGCCTAAGCGGTACCTCAATGCCCCTAAGGCCGAGGGCAGAAAAAGGCCCTCAGCCAAAAGCAAAATGTCATTTTCCCCTTGAAAAGGGCAGAAAATGGTTTTGGTGGGCATTCTACCCCCAAAACCCTATTTGTGCCTTCTTGAGAGACATATTTATTTTTTTTGTCAGATTTTTCTCAAGATCCAAAAACATTTCAAAGTGCTTGACTTCTTGCAAAATTGAAGGTTAACGTATAGGATACTTTTTGGGCTTGGAGTGGCTACAAAAGAGGACTTTCGGCTGCCAAAGGTCACGAATTAGAGCCTATATCAAGTTCATTTTGCAAAGGTTAGTATATCAGAATATTTGACTTGGGATTTGTTGCTATTTCCCGTAAAACGGTTTATGATTTGTTTTTAGTTCCCTTCTGGTGTTTGCTTTTGTGAACTTTTACAAGTTTGGCTTTGAATTATCAGCAAGTTTTAGGTTGACTTTTTTTTGAAATTTTCTTAAGGCTGGGAAACCTAATCTTAGGAGAATCATTAATCTCAAACCAAATGAATATTATTTGGTGATTTCTCCTTAATTTTTTATAATTGTGACTTTCATTGCATAGTTGGGTTACCCTATTGATTCCTAACTAAAGTTCGAATTGTTTCTTCCTAGGAAAAACTTGTTTTATGAAAATTACTAAATAGATTGTGCTTGAGTTATTTTGCTTGCATGAATGCTTTAGAATATTGTTTTGTAAATTAATAAATATTTCCTCCTTTTATTCAGTTGGATTGGTTTACATTTAGTGCCACACATCAAAATTTGGGTAACTGCGTATTTCCAGACTTGCTCAGTGAACATATCTAGTTTTTTTATTTAATACTCTATATGGTTTTCTTGTATTGTCTAGACAAAGAGTTAAATGGGGTTTACTTCATTGAATACTTTGATTTTGTGAATTTTGAGGTTAATTAATTAGATGATGTCGTGAGTTCTGTGGGTCATGAGTCGTGACAAATTGGCATTGTCTTCAACCAGTTCAAGTAAGCAAGCTCATAGAGCTTGGAAATACAGTTCTTTAACAAATCCAATTGACAAAGTTAGGGTAGACAGTACTTGTGTCACATGGGGTTAGGAGAGAGATGTTAGAGCACTTACAACACTCGCAGGAGGTCAAAAAGAAGAAAGAGAAAAAGAAAAACCATGATAACCTTTTGAGGAGTGTAGATTTATACGGACTACAGGAAGATGTATATGCCAACGACGAGTGTTCACGGTAGGCCACAAGGCTTGAACAAAAGAAACCTCAAGCAAGGGGGGCATATAAATTCTTACTCCCCCTCCAACCCCCAAATCTTGAGATTACAGTTGCGAGAAACGGAGCAAACAACTTTAGAGGGACAATCTAAGAAAGAAGGTAGGATAAGGTGTCTCAATATGTAGCTAGATGGCTCTATCAAGCAAGCATTCCATTCAATGCCGCTAACTTAAAGAACTTCCAAACTATGTTGGAAGGAGTGGATTAATTTGGGCCAAGCCCCAACATGAGCTCATGGAACCAATACTTAAAAAGGAAGTGGAGCTCACAAATAATTTTTTGAGGACCCACAGAGACACATGGGAGATGTATCTAGGGTCCCTATTATGAATGATCGATAGACTGATTAGAGAAACAGAAGTATTACAAACTTGATAGCGAAGTCACCATTAGAGATCCAAGCCGCGAGATTCATTAATGCATTAATGTTTTTAGGTCCATTAACGCATCTGACAAGATCCAAGCAGCAAGATTCACTTTTGAGTCAGTGGACCAATGTACAGAGGAGGTGGGGAAGGATCACATGGTCAAAGTAGTGACTCATAGGGCTGCAGCCAATAATGGCGGCTTCTAGCTTATTGGTGCAAAGAGGCCACATGTTTTTTGGTCGCCTTGTGCTGCTAGACCTCATGCTTAAGGCTACTGCCATGATGAAGGTGGTGGTGATAACACTGAAGAAAGCGAAGTCATAATAATGCTATGGATGCGGTTAGCATGCCGCCAAGCCCGCACATGTAGAAATACGGGCCCCTTAATAAATTTATTTTTGAAATAGAATTCGATCTTAATTTTTAGGGAATATAATCTTTAACATAGAGATCATGAATATGAAGAAATAAATAAATTTTGAAAACTAGAAATAATAATTCTATTAAAAACACATTCGAACCCTTCGTTTCAATTGTTTTTAGATGGACCACCTATTTGCATCCATCTTTAAGTTGGATGCTTTATACCTCTGGACCGCATATTGTACAAATGCGGTCCAGTCCACATGAAACAATTGTTCTAATGTCATATATATAGCCACACGCAGGTAAGTTTAAAACTCTTCCATTAGAATTGTTGGTTTGTATGCATAGAAGTAATGTCACATATGTTAAATACTTAGGTCATAAGGATCTATGTTAAGTCTCAAGCTCTTGACTTTTAAAGATACTTGTGTTAATATGACACATGTTCTCAATTGGCTAGGTGACGACCATGATGAGGAAGTATACAAACAATAGAGAGTCGGTGAGGCCCAGAGTGGCAAGATTTGCCGCCTACTATCTGTCTTTGCAATCCACATTAGAAGAAAAAGAGAACCTATAGACTGTGTGTCTCAGAAGACTATAGCAGTGTTTTAAATAACGGATTGGTAGGACAGGTCACCCACCCATTGATTGGAGATCTGGATCATCAACTTTGGCGATCCAGCAAAATAAAAGCAAATTTTATATTATTCAATGAATCGATGTTGTGTCCATACTTGAAGTAGTCAAGTCAGCTAAGGGTTGTTGCCGCTAATGTTGAGTTTGGGTTTTGAACCCACTTTGGCTTTTTTTCTATATATTTTATACTATACTTGGATTGGGAAGCTTAGGGCGAAGGGAAAAGCACTCCACATGGTCTTTATTGATCTAGAGAAATCTTATAATACAATACCTCGAAATTTGATTTGGTGGGTGTTGGAAAAGAAAGGAGTCTCCAGACATTACATTGGAGTAGAGACGAGGAAGTAGTTAAGATTGAAGGCCAAGAAGTATCAAAAGTCCACACTTTCGATATCTTGGGTCGATAATCTAGGAAATAGAGAGATTGAGGAAGATGTCGCACACAGAATTAAAGCTGGATGAGCGAAGTGGAGATGTGCAACTAGAATTTTATATAATCATCGCTTACCAATGAAGCTGAAGGGTAAGTTCTATAAGACAGCTGTGAAACCAGCTTTGCTCTATGGGGCAGAATGTTGGGCGGACAAAAAACAATATACTCATAGAATTAGTGTAGCGGAGATGAAGATGTTGAGATGGATGATTGGCAAGACAAGAAGAGATAGAATTCGAAACGAATCCATTGAGGAAAATTTCGATATGGCACCAATAAGTGATAAGACGAAAAAGAGTAGACTTAGATGGGCACGTGTGGTGCAGACCTAGTACAACACCTGTTAAAAGGTGCGAATTAGTTCAAGTAGAAGGCTCGAAAAGGGAAAGGGGGTAGGCCCAAAAAGACGTGGTTGGAAGTAGTCCAAAAAGATATAGGTACTTATGGCATCACTAAGGGTATGGACTTTAATAGAGCAGAATGGTAGACCAGAATTCGTGTAGCTGACCCCATGTAATTGGAAAAATGCTATGATGATGATCTTGAAAGAATTCAAACCTTAGACTTAAAGCTAAACATTGACAAGGCCTAACCACCAAAACATCTCAAGTTTATAATCATAAAATGTACACATAACATAGTAACCAATTATGTACACTTAATGGGGTTCAAACCCTAACTACATGCTCAAAAATCATGCATGCTACCCAATTCGTTCTTCCTAATTGATGGAGTGCAAAATTATGCTTATTTTTAATTTCTATTCAATTTTAAACATAGTTTTAAAAAGGACCGCCCAGCGCCTAAGCAGTCTAGAAGGCCTGGACGCATCGCCTAGACCTGGGCGGCCAAACTAGGCGGCTGTCTCTCGGCACCTGCCTAGGCGCCCGGCCCGCCTAGGGGCCGCCTAAACCCGCCTAGGCGCTGCCTAGGGGTAGAAATGCGGCTCTTTGAGAGTATTTTTGGGCCATTTTTTTAATACTAAAAGGGAAAAATTGTGGGCTTTAAGTTCATTTAAAACCTAAAACCCATTTGAGGCTATTTTATAGAGAGAAAACCTAAAAAAAAGTAATAGTTAACAATGGTTTGGGCTTTCATTTCTGGAATAGGGTTCAATTTGCCAAAAGTGATATTCTCCCATTGGTGGAGGTAATGCGGTTAGTGGAAAGTGAGCAAGAAGAATCGATCACATTTATAATGCAATGGAGGTTCCAAGGAGGAATTCAAGAAACAATTTGGCAATGATGAAGCTAAATATGCTCCTTTTTTGAAATTTATAGATGAGAAGTGGAACTCACAACTTGAGATGCCCCTATACCTAACAGTGTATTACCTTAACCTGCTCATTTTACATTGATCATGTGATACACAACAAAAGCAAGTTCATGAACGCAATCAACCAATCCAACATTAAACTCAACCCTAATCCAAATGCCCAAGCCAAAGTGTCAATGGACTTGGAAAAGTATTGATTCTTAGCGGGGTCTCTTGGAACGGACTCGGGGAAATAAGGCAGAGGACCAAGATCTCTCTTGGTAAGTTTAACTCATTCATTGATTTTCTAAACTGAGTATTTAGTTCTAATTATACTATAATTCTTATATATTGCATTTTCATTTATGTAAACTAGCCACATGGTGAATAAGCCACGGGGAAGTGGCCCACATTTGTGCTAGAAGGTTATGTGCACATTGAATTTGACTTGTAGCTTGTCCGATTGCGAGCGCAGCTTCAGCACATTGAATGATAATTAGTTCACCATCTCCTAACCTATTAGTTACTAGCTATTAGTTGTTAGTTGTAGTTGTATCCCTAACATGTACTATGTTTTTCAAAGTTCAAATTACTCATTCATATATTATCTAATAGCTTCACAAAGAAGAGAAACATGATTGAGCAGAACACATTGAACAACCTTGTCATTGTTCAGTAGCACAATGAAAGGGAGAACCTTGTTACAAACATAGATGATGGTAAAGAGTGATTGGTTAATGCTAAAGAGGAGGTATTTGGAGCGGGCTTGACCTAAAATCAAGTTTGTGAGGATTCTGGGACACCACTAATCCCTATATGGACCACTAGATCTCAATCTCAAATGAAGAGGTTGACGAAATGAGAGAGGAGGATAAAGGGGGAGAAGCACACCCAGAGGAGGATTGGAATGAAGAGCAATATGTGGAGATGACTCTTACAATAATGGCATGGCATCATCATCAAATTCATATGCATCTAATGTTGATGGGGATGCTGATGAAACTCAATTTCCAATTTCAGTTCAGTCTTGTTGGTCATTTTGAATTTTACTCGTCAATTTGTGTTTTCTTGGGTTTATGTACTGATTATTTTGTGGGATGTGACTTGTAAATCATGTGTCACCTTTATAATGTTGATGTAGATTGTCGATTATGGAATGCAACCTTAATGTATAATGAAATGCAACTTTATATGGATTTTGGGAAACTATCACCCAATACTTGTATATATTTGAAATAGCACAACACAATAACACATAGAAGACTTCAAATTTTGATTATATCTATATATATATATATATATATATATATATATATATGGGTGAGATTTGTATAACCTGTCAACCTTATACTGTTGAAGTAAGCGGCAACTCAAAACTATGCCGAAAGATGCAGTTTCGATGTCAAAAAGCCTGGCGATGGCATGAAAAACTGTCACCTCTAATTATGAAATTTAAAGCTCCAAAACGCGACACAAATGGAGCAGATCCATAAATAATTACAATTTCGAAAATGGACTCTAGGAATATCCATTCATCTCAAGGATGAGACGATGAATTTAAGGGCTTTTTTAGCATCATAACCACATTTGTGATGAGTTTTTTAGGTGCATTGCACCTCTGTGCGTGTGTGTGTCCGTGTCTGTGTGTGCGTGCGTGCGTGTGTGCATGCATGTGAAAAAGTCTTCCCAACACCTATAGGCGAAAATAAATAGTGATTTCACCTACCCTCAACACCGTCCAAATTTCATCGCGCAGACACGATTGTCTGGTAGTGTTTTATTTTTTATATTTTTTTACAGATTAGAATGACCTGAAATTTAGAGGGTATGTACATCTTACTGAGGCGCATCAAATAAAAATATAAAAAAAATTATCCGTGGAAAACAAATTGACCAAAATACCCCCAAATATTTTCGGGGGTATTTTGGTCAATTTTTTTCATGTAAAATATTTTTTTTATATTTTTCGAAGATTCCCCTATTTTTTATTAATTTACTTTCCAAATTTCAGGTCATTCCAATTTGTAGAAAAAAAATGAAAAATGAAACACTACCGGACAATCGTGACCGCATGATGAACTTTGGATGGTGATGGGGGTAGACAAAATCACTGTTCATTTCGCCTATAGGCGTTGCGTAGTGTTTTCCTATATATATATGCGTATGTGTATGTGTGTGTATGTGTATATGTATATGTATATGTGTATATGAATATGTAGCCCCTATAAACACCATAATGGACCAGAATCCCCTTAACTTTTGTTTGGGCCGCCTAGGTTTCTAGGCATCCGCATCCGAATTTCTTAACATTAATTTGCATATCAACAAGAGGAGAAAGGAGCAAGCAGCAAGATTTCCTCAAAGTCTAGGGACAACCAAATCTTTTGGGAGAGGAAATTTTGTCATTGCTAGATGGTGAATCCTACGAGTCAAGGAGCTTTGCATTCAAGAGCGTGGCTTACTAACTCGAATTGAGAGACTCATCTCCCATGGGGAGAGAAATAGCCAACAAAAAATACCCAAAGATGGTATTGTACAGATGCCATACCCAATGATCGATCAAGATAAAGTTATGTGTGCGAAAAAATTAATTTCTCCACAGAGAACTTTATTGTTTGGATTTGTTTGGACTGTTGGGGTGCAAATTTGCAGTTTTATCTTGCTAATCAACTTAAATATGTATTTGTTGAGCTTGGTTTAAAGGGGGACAGCCACTCATGCTCACAGGAAGTTTCTGTTGAAACCTAAATCCATCCAAAGCATATACCAGAAGACAATTTTATGAATCTATCAGCTCAACGAGAACAATAAACTTGTGCCACTCCAATATCAGAATCTGTGTACTGCAGATGAACCAGCTAATAAAATGACAAGCATATACATAGCAAGTGGGCTTTCAAAGGAAGACGAATTTCCATTTTCTTCTTCCTTACACAGACACAACCAGGCAGAAAGTATTTCCCTTCTCAAACGACCATTTTCTCAAGTGCCTGTACTTTCTTATCAGAGAGCTGCTTGTACTTACTCGCGCCCCATGTCCTTACTCAAAATAAGACTCTGTAAATTTGCAATATTCCGAAAAGGAGTCTATTGCACTACGAAAGCACTGTTATGGATGGCATAGAGCATGTTAAGAAACTAAATAGTGGTTAGGACGTGTTAGGAAAGAAGGGGAAATGAAATGCAAACCTTCTGGAGCCTTCAGGCATATAGGCATCTTGAGTTTTTGTGTCTCCTAGGTTGATGTCCTTCACTTCCCATAAAAAATCAATTCTTCTTTGATAATTGAGTAAGCAAAAAATCTAGCAATCATCATCCTGGTTTTAATCAAGTGCAGGGACAAAAAGGTCAACGGGAAACAGGAATGGTTAATGTGACGCATGAGGTAGAACTTGGACTGGTAGATTTACCATCTTGTGTCTCTCCCAGAAGTGGATCATGGAAAGCTTCAGCAGTATATGGTGTGAGACACTAAAAAGGTCACATTGCATGGAGTACAATATCAATCATGGCATGTGAATGTTCCCAAGCCAAGAAAATATAAATCTAACAGACATTGCACCCAACTTATCCCTCACACCCATAGGTAAGTAACCAAAACAAAGATGATCTAAAGCGTCTTTTTGGCTAACCATAGACACCTTCCCACTTGGTTTGTTAGAAGATGGTAGGTTTTGCGGAAAACCGATAGGGTGTGTTTTGCACCTGGTATGAGATGAATCCACAAAGTATTTCCTCTGTCACTCACCTAGCTGAAATTCCTTTGATAAAACATTCACCTGGCTTTTCTGCTGGCTAAAATAACTCAGGGAGTTTGTAATGCAGAATCATGAAGAAGCGGAATGATTCTCCTGTTTTGACTATTTATAGGCAGTATACTTAATCGTAGGAAGTCAAATATAGTTTTCAAATCTGATTTCTAGGGATATTACTTTGATGCTATCCATGAGTATTACAATTCCAGTCATGAATGACCTAACAAATTAATGAAGCATAATATGCACAATTATTTTAAGAAAAGTAAAAAAAAGGGCATAGCATGCAATGAACATTGAGCTATAAAGAAAAAGTGTGCAAAGTGTCATAATAGCAATTGACTACAGGACACAAATACCATGAAAATATTCATCATTTACAACTACATGATTAATTTACTTTAGATGTTCAGTAGATTCAAAGTACAATGAAACAAAGAAAAGCGATATTCAAAAGTACCTTATCCGAGAAGGGAGCTTGAGTGAATTTTTCATAGTCAAAACTCTGAAATGAATCTCTGGTGAATGTTGCATTTTCTCCACAAGCTACACAGTTCAAAGACCTGCCTCTAATTTTCACCTACGCAATAAGATAAGCCACCCATATATTAATATTTTTAAGGAAAACAAGAAAGAATGCATGTCAATATCATAAATAAATAAATTCATATCCATAAAAAAAGCAATAAATGCATATTAATGGAGATAAAAAGCAATAATTATACAAATCCGTGTGCCCTAAATTTTTCAAAGGCAAAAAGATTCTTAAATTTGCATCAATAGCCAATAAAATTTTATAGGGAATGGCAGGTCCAACTAATGTCGCATATAGTGATGGGATTTTGACACATCATCCTTTTAAAAAGTATGTATGAGTTGCACAAAAAAAAAGAGAAAAGTATGCACAAGACAAAGAATGATCTCTCTCTCCCAACTCTCTATCAATTTCTCTCTCTATATATTTTCATATTTATTTGCTCTTTCTACATCATGCTTGTGTGTTTCTTTTTTATCCTGAAATGAAAGGGAGTTATATGATGAAAAGGGCAGGACTTTTGATAGAAATAACATCCTTTATTTTCCAAACAATGGAAGACCAAAAAAATATCTTTCATATATTATTGTGCAGGATTTAAGACTCAAGTAAATAAAAATCAGTTATTACTCCCAAATTTATTTGTATGTAACTAAGTCATCATCATCATCATAGTCTTTTTCAAATTAATTGGGATCGGCAACATGAACTTGGTCTACCATTCTGCTCTATTAAAGGTCACCCTCAATGAGGTCATAAGTCCCCATATCTTTCTGAACTACTTCCAACCACGTCCTTTTGGGTCTACCCTTTGCCTTTTTAAGTCCTTCCACTTGAACTAACTCGCACCTCCTAACAGGTGTTGTACTTAGTCGGCGCCACACATGGCCAGCCCACCTAAGTTTACTCTCTCTCATCTTATCGCCTATCAGTGCCATACCTAAATTCTCCCAAATGGATTCATTTCAAATTCTATTCCTTCTTGTCTTGCTACTCATCCATTTCAACATCCTCATCTCTGTTACACTCATTCTATGGGTATATTATTTTTGTTCGCCCAACATTCAGCCCCATAGAGCAAAGCTAGTCTCACAGCTGTCCTATAGAATTTGCCCTTCAACCTCATTGGTATGCGACGATCACATAAAATTCCAATTACACATCTCTACTTCGCCCAACCTGCTCTAATTATGTGTGCGGCATCTTCCTCAATCTCTCCATTTTCCTGGATTATCGACCCAAGATATCAAAAGTGTGATCTTTTTTGTAGTTCCTGGTCGTCAATCTTAACTACTTCCTTGTCTCTACACCTATTATTATTAAACTTGCATTCCATATACTTTATCTTGTATGTAATTAAGTATAATAAACATATTTTCAATATATTAATTTTGCATCTAATGACTATTTAGAAAATTGTGATTGATATCTTATTTTATAATTTCTCCATTTTTAACTATTGATTGTGTGGGTAGTCCCAAGCTAGGAAACTCCTAGAAAGCAACGATCCCCGCTATTGCTCCCACACCAGCTCCCGCCTCCAACAACTATAGAAGTTTCACTTATCTTTGTTTTTTTCTCTCTTTTCATTGTACTGAGGCTTTTGCAGAAAATTCTATATCTCCGCTAAAAGGGCCCCGTAAATTCTCTCTTACCAGCGTCAAACTCCAAATGTTCCATCCCTTACAAGATTTCATGTGGGCCCCTTCTGCAAAGATCCCCAATAGAGGGCTATAACTAGCTTTCCAACCTCTAGGATAACTAGGTGAAGCCAAGTGTCCAAGATGGTGGACGTCATGCCTTAATCTTTGGGGACGAAGGCATGACCATCCTCTATCTCTGTTAGTTGGGGTTTTGCCAGTTGTACTTAGAGAATGGTTCTTTGCTCCTAATTCGTAGAAAGTGTCATATAAATTCAACATCTATCCCAATCTTTATGGTTTTGACATGTGCCATCTCTATGTGAAGACCATAAGTCCTTTCTATTTCTATCCCCAGTGGCCTATTAAACACTTAGGGTCATCAGATGTGGGGGACTATCCCACAGCAAGGTTTCAAAAAATGCTAGGCCTGGTGCCCAGCGTCCAGGCAGGCCTAAGGTGCCTTGTAGTAGAAATGTTTAAGATATGTACATATATTTGTTGTCCAACCGCACATATATCATATATTCGTGTCAATTTTGTAATTTATTGCATTTGAAAATATACAAACATATGACATATCACGGTTGAGAATAAACTTGTTCAAAATTTCAAACCATACAAAACCTTTAAAAGTCAAGCTATGTAAGGTCTCCAACTCTCAAATTCTCCATATTCCATATCCATAAAATAAACCTTCATAACATCCAAGTCTCCAACACTCCAAGTCTTCAACAAACTGAGTTCCAAAAGTATAAAAAACCACACAAAAGTCTTCTAATACCTCCAATAACACCCGAAAAATACTTTCAATGAGAAAAAGAAACTTTTTCAATCCACAAAAAATACTTTCCATTATCAGAAATTACTTTAGATTCTCATAAATACGTTTAGCATAGATATTGAGGGTGTTTTTTTAACTTTAAGGGTTAAAAATAACCCCCGTAATATACTTATACTATCTTGGGGGTCAAATGACCCTCTTTGCCCTTTTGGGTGACTTAAAAAAATGAAAAAGGACCCACAGCCCTAAGCGCAGGCCCAGAACACCTGGCCCTCCAGAGCACCCGCCCAGGTACATCCGCCTGTGTTGGGCTGCTTGGGTCTGGGCATGTAGTGGCTATGGTCTAGGACGCCTAGGCACCGGGCGGACCGTTTTTTGAGACCTTGTCTCACAGCCCATAAGCACTTAGTTTTTAGGCTATAAATCCCTTCAAAAATCACTATAATGAAAAACCATATAATAAAGAATGGCAGTTCTACCCTTGCACCTACAAAGTGACATATATCACTATTCCCCTCTATCATGCAAGTGCATGTGGCCTTTCTTCTAATCTTATAATTGGATCAAAGTCCAGATAATTACGTTAGACATGATCTACTATGTAATTAAACATATCACTTGGGTTCCAGATTAATGACATAATCCCATTTGCAAAAAGCAGTAATTGCCCCTTGTGCTCATCTTTCAGCATTTACAAGCAGTGCACTGCTCATAAATAGAAAGAACATACAAAAGAAATGCACATGGAAAACCGACGCATGTACAAAATACACATAAGCAGATGCACACATGCGACCGCACACACACACACAAACACACCTGCGTGTCCACACACTGGCATTTACTAAAACAAATGCACAATGCACGCTTGTCTATGCATTCACATATACACAACCTTCGAACATATGCAGAAAAGCATATGAATGTTAAAGAGCATACACTTATCGAGTTCATGCTAATCATCTATCGGATCATTAGTATACATGCACATTAGTTGTAAACAATCTATACAAGGCATATAATGTTATTGCACATTGGAACATCATGTTAGTACTTGTCCACAAAACTTGAGAAAGATGTATTGATATTCAATTGCATATATGTATTACATGAATGTGATATAGACATTTACTCAAAATAAGCATGAAAGTTTGAATGAAATTGATGACAATTCAAGTTCATATTCTAGCAAAATCAATTTTATTAACAGTATGCAGTAAGTATTCCACCCAGTTCAAGGAAACAACATCACTCCACTCATGACTATTTATGTCCATTCATGGTGCAATGAGAACAAATCATTGCTTGTAAACAGTAAACTTATACAACTAAAATAAGGGGAGGGTGTATATAGTAATTTAGACGAATCAAAAGGAGCAGATAATCTTAAATCTCTTTGGAAGAGCAATATTCCACAAGTTCCAAAGGTCTTACAGAAAAATGCAGGAAAAGCAGACACTCTAATTTAAAATAACTTATGTCAAAGAAGACCTAGAAATATAAAAAAGACTAAACATACAATGTGGATTCTTGCTGGTAAGGCATCAAAAAGAAGCATTCTTCCAGAAAGAGGTTCACCCACTGAACTTGCAATCTTTATTGCCTCTAAGGCTTGAAGGCAGCCGATTACTCCTGGGACTAGAAAAAATCGACACAAATTTAAATATCAGTAAAAGATAAGTTCTGAGCCAGTAAAGAATTGAACAATGGAAGTCACATATCATAGTAAATGGGGGTAAAGATCTTAAAAGAGAAGTATTTTGTAAATGGATTTCTTAACATACTATCATAGGGAACAAATAAAGTTTTGCATCAGTTTTCTTTGTTCACTCATATCAAAAAGGACCATAGCTAGCAAACAGCTGACATATTGACAGACCTTTTACACAACTGAGAAAAATTCAAGCAAGATAATATAATGGGTCCATGTATGGAAGTCCATCAAGGATGCAGCAATATTTGAGCATTGAAGATTTTACCTGTTCCTCAATATTTTCTCACAATTATGTGATAGTGAAGTACTTACAGACAAGAGTAAGTATCATTGTGGGAGGAAAACATTTGCAGCCATATGTTCCTTGAATAGGATCAAGTCCCAACTATGATGGCAATGAGGCAAAAAACTATCCTATTCTACACTGCAGATTGAGTCGCTTTGGGTCCTATATCAGGGTTCTGTTAGCATGTCGAAAACTTTTACCTAACCTTATAAAGATCATGTCAACCAGTTAATTACTACACTACAACTAGGAAGGCATACCACCACCTAATGTTATGAATTTATGATATAACAAGAACTTTTACCTAGCATTAGGGACAATTATATATCACAAGCAAACCCACTTACCTTCTGGCATAAGAGAATATGAGATACTTTTTCTATGACTGTATTTGTTTCACCCC